TATCTTTAAGGATGTAACAAAAATCAAGTGATTTTTTAGGAGGAGTAAAAAATTTAAAATTATATATAAAAATCCAATCAAGATATATAGTAAGAGGAGGAGGGGTAAGCCTTTGATAAAAAAAAATTAGATAATAAATAACACTATCCTTAAAGGCTTAGTTTAAGAAAAAATTTTCAAAGAGATTCTCAATATTATAAAATCTTTAAAAGATATGAAAAGATATCTAAAAACCACTATAAACTTGACATAAAATTTATTTTATGAAAATATATAGAAGTGAAGATGTATAGTGGTTATTGAATAAGAAAAGAAAGAAAAAATTAATATAAAATTGAAGAGGAAAAGAAGCCAAAATCAGAAGCTCCAAGTTCTAGTATAAAACAGATACAAGAACTTGCAGGGAAGTTTGTTATAAACCAAGATCAAACCAAGAAAAAAGTTAAAAAGAAAAAAATAGAAAAAATTAAAGAGAAGAAAAAATAAAGAAAAAAGGTCTTGGTTCATATTAGTTAAAAATTTATATATAAATAAAATGAAGCCATTTTGGTATAGCTTCAATAGCTAGCTTGGTATAGCTCTCTGGTGCAGGCAAAAGCCTTAACCAATAAAGCAGACTGTTTTTGGATATTCTTTAAAGCAGCCGAGAGATATTAGATTTGTAATTTAGATAGTTAATTATATGTATTTATATATATGCTTGGATTTAATAAAGATACTGACAAGGCTGCTGATAAGTTCAAAAAAAAAAATAAAAATAAAAAAATAAAATTTAAAAAAAAACAAAATTAGTAAATATAAAGTATATAAAAGTATATAGTATACAAAACAAAAGTTTATTTAAGAGACCAAAACAAATTATATTAGTAAAAAAAGTTTTATATATAGTAAATAAATTAAAAACTTTAATTTTTTTATTTGATAGTCTTGCTAGTGATCTTTTATTTTAAATTAATTTGTATAAAATTACAAATTGCTAAATTTAATATTTCATAGTTATTTTTATACTGTAAGTACTTTTAAGCAATCTGTTATATTAGACTAGACTAATTACAAATTTTGAAAATATATAATATATCTTTTTTTTAAAATATTAAGGTAATTATTTAAAAATCTAGTATAGTTTATTAAACTTTAGATTGATATCAGTATAGTTACAGGGATTATACCTAATTGTCTGAAGCATAGCGACAGACTCTTACTTCTACACTGTTTGATAACTGAAATTACGTTTTTGATACAATTATAATCAAAAAATCAAAAACGTAGTTGTTGTATTTTCTAGATATAAGGCCATGTACCTTTATTTGAATATTGATAGTTATTTATTTTTTTTGCTTTTATTCTTTTATATTATTATTTCACCTTTTTATTTCTTTTCATTTTTCTTTCTTCTTTATTTGTTTTATTTTTTCTTCCCATCTTTTTTTTTTGCTTTTTTTTTTTTGTCTTTATTTTTCATTCTTTTTTTCTTCATCTTGCCTTTTCTTTTTACTCTTCATTTTTTCTTTTGTTTCTTAATTACTTCATTTTTTGTGCTTTTTCATTCTTTCGTATCTTTGTACTTTTTTCATTTTTCTTCTTTCGTTCTTTTGTTTTCTTTCTTTTTATTTTTTCTATCTATCTTTTAGTTTTTTTTCGCTATTTTTTTTTGTTTTTTTGGTTCCATTCTTTTTTTTTCATCTTGCTTTTTTTCTTTTACTTTTCGTTCTTTCTTTTGTTTTTTTATTTGCTTCATCTTTTGTGTCTTTTTCGTTCTTTTTTCCTTTCTTTGTTCTACCTTTTCTTCTATCTTTTTTTATCTTTTGTTCTTTCGTATCTTTCGTATTTTTTTCTTTCATTCATTTTTTATTTTTTTCTTTTATTCAGCTTTTTGTTCTCTCTTCTTTGTTTTCTTTCTCCGTTTTACCTTTTTTCTTTCGCCTTTTTTTTGTTCTTCTATTTATTTCTTTCACTTTTTATTTGTTCTCCAATTTTTTTTCTTTTTTTGTTTTATCTTTTTCTTTTGCCTTTCTTTCAGGTTTTCATTTTTTTTTCTTTCACTCTTTTTTTTCATTTTCTCTTCTTCTTTCATCTTACCTTTGTTATCCATCTTTCTTTCGTTCTCTCTTTTTTTTTTTTTTTTTTTGTTTCTTTATTTTCTTTTTCAGTTGGCTTCTTTTCTCTGAATAGTTTTTTTTTTTCAAAATACAACCTCGGAATTGTAGATCGCTGTTGGAATTATCATCTCTTGAGCGTCATTACTGAAGCTTCATTATTGGTGCTGTTATTTTTCTTTACTAGAATCTTATAGGTAAGTAATTTAAATTTGTTTTATTGTTTTTTTTTTTTTGCAACTTTTTCTAATACTTATGTTTTCATTATTAGTATTTTCACTTAAAACTTTCATCTAGACTTTTATTTGAATTTTTGTTAGAACTTTCATCTAGATTTTTGTTGAGACTCTCGCTAAAACATTAACTAGCGCTCTTGCTAAACTTTATCATTAGTTCTTTGTGTTGGTGTATTTTATAATAAAGCGGGTAGGTTCTAATTTTTTGTTGTGCAATGATGTGTATTGTGTGACAGGTGGTTTTTTTTTTGTATAGAACTTAGAAAATAAAATTGTGCGATTAGAGTATTAGATACTAAACATAGAATAGCACTATATGATTGGTTCACTATTTAAGATTTTTAAAAGTTTGTTGATCAATTTATTAAAAGAATTTGTCATAGTAATTTTATAATAAAAACAGTATATTTTTAAAAATGTTTTAACTCTCATTCTAGTAGAGCAAATTCAATTATGTAACTTGTAAATAATATATAAATAATGTACTTTTAAAACTACATTGAGATATTTTTATTTTATTTTATTAATTTGGCTAAAATTATGAATTAACAAATTATTTAAATGATTAAATTATAGAGAACTACTAAAATTTATATATTAATATTAAATATTGCAATATAGTTTTAGAAGCAAGCTATTTATATGCTATTTACATGTTACAGAATTAAATTTACTCTACTAAAATGGGAGTTAGAATGTTTTAAAGATATTATTTAAGCAATTATATTATAGAGACTTACTAAAATTCATATATTAATATTAAACATGGCATTATAGTTTTAAAATAATGTTATTTTTATATCATTTGCAAATTATAGAATTGAATTTACTTTATTAGGAAGGAAGTTATAACATTTTAAAAATATATAGTTTTTACTACTATAAATTTTTTTAACAAATTGATCGATAAAATTTTAAAAAATCTTAAATAGTGAACCAATCATATAATGCTACACTATGATAGTAGATCATTTGGTATCTAACACCTTATTACGTATAAGATATCTGGTATACCAAAAAAATTAACATGCCATATGGCATGCCATTTATCTAAATCCATGCCAAGATACCACCCTGGCATGCTATTGGCATGCTATAATTGCAAGTTTGAGAATGCGAACAGGTTAGTGCCAAACTACCAATCAGATTTCAAGATCAGGTGTAATATTTCACGATTAGAAAAACTCAAGACAAGCATTCGTTTTAACAAAAATCGGGTATTTCTCAAAAATATGCATAAGAAACAATCTTTTGTGCTTTAATAAAAAGTTTTCCTTAAACGATTTTACTATATATCTTGGCAATATATTACCTAAATACAAACACTAATCTGAACTTTACAGAATTTTGCACATTTAGATATGTAATCGACAACATGTACACATTCATTATATACTATAAAAATTTATTTATACAGGCATTTAAAATAATGTTTAACTAGTTTTTTTTAAGAATACTGTTGTATAAATCTTGCCAATTTAAGAATAGTGATAAAACTATATATATATGTATGTATGTACGTACGCACATATTAGTAATCTAATGCCAAATTCGAAATAACAATTGAAAAGAAGCAAATTATTACACATAGTAATCAGTTTGTTATTTGGATTTATATAAAAATAATGTAATTACTCTCTGGCCATATTATTAGATTTAGAACTATTCAAACATATTTATTAATAGTGCTTGTCAAAAAGCATTCTTAACAAACATATTTCAGAAAGATTTTTTTTTTTTACATTATATAGTTACTTATAAACTTAGGATTTGAAGATATTATCAATTGACCAATCCTCATCAATACAAATAGATCTTTGATAGTGAGTAAATGAGTTTTCTTTAATTGTTTCTTGGTCTTGCTTATAAGTTTCAAAATCGAAGAATGTTTCTATTTCTAGATCATCATCATTCATTACAAGATCAATTGCTTCGATATCAATTTGCAACTCTTCAAAAAAAACTCTTTAAAAAAAAGATCAATATTGATATCTGTAGCATTTATATCATCTGTGAGTAAAGCTTGATTTTTTACTTTAGTTTTTTTTTTTAACATTTCAGGTAGCCTTTGGTAAAGATCATGGTAAAGCATCTCAAGCATCCCCATTGAAGTGAAAGACATTTTATTTCATAACTTTGTTTTTGTTAATCCTAAACTGGAAAAAAGATATTTTACTGCTGCAGCATGTAGAACAATTGCAAAGATTTTTATAGCAAAATATCAGAAAAATAGGAAATTTCCAGTAAACTGTGACCAGAAAGTTCTAGAGTTAATATTTTGAATATTTTTACTGTTATTGAAAGGTGCATCTCTATTTTTATAGCTAATGATTTCTTTGAACAAAAGTATCATTTCTGTTTTATTGAAACCTCGGGATTTTGCTAATTCCAAAGAAGCTCTAACAATTGAGTCTTCAGATATTTTTCTTGATATTGCGATTTGTTTGTAGGTTGGTAACAAAAAAAGAGCAACAAAATAAATTTTGTCAGAAAACTTATGGGCCTATTTGCTAACAACAGCCAAGGCATGTTCTTTAAATCCACTTATAAGAATATCTGATGCAGAAATAATATAATAAATATTTATTAATTTTTTAAAAACATCAGCTAATATAGTATCTCTTGATTCAAGACGACTGATAGCATCTATAACAGGAATGAGCACTGTAACTAATGTGTCATTGTTAGCAAAATAATAACAACTATTAATTATATTTTGAATTTCTGTTCGAATTATACAAAAATTGCCAGTTCCACTAAGGTTAACATAGTATTGAAAACCTTTTCAAAGCTTCTTACACCTAAACAAACTTTTGCTAGAGAGTACCAACACGTTTTACAGAATGTTGTAAGTAAATAGTATATATCTTCTTTTTTTTTCTATTCTTGTAACATTTGGAGCCAAATGTGGGAAGACGTAAAGAAGTTTATAAGTCTTTGATTATTTTTAATAGTTGTAATTAAGGGCTAAAAAGAGAAGATGTCTTTTGTGATTAGATTAAATGTATAAAGGCAACAACGGATCAGAATAATGTTTGAATAGTTTTGAAAAAGATTGGCTCTCATTTTAACCATAATCGAAGGGTTATCGGTCATATATACAATAATTGAATTAGTAGAGAGTGAACTTGATTGCAAGATATTTTTAAGCTGTTCTTTGAGAAATATAGCGGTGTACCGGTTTGCTGATAGATCAATAACATCCAAAACATATTCCTGGTTCTTCTTTAAAGCCATGAAACTATAAATGGAATTTCTAGATACATCTTGTTACCCATCTAAAGTGATGGTAATATCGAATAGAAATGTCATCTTTTCAAGTTTTTTGGTCAAGTAAGTTGAAAATGAACTATTAAGAATTGTAGTTCTTAATAGTTTATCAGAGAGTAGATCATAGTTGGAAGCTAATTCATTAAGAAAATCAAGAAAATAGAGGTTTCTAATAATCTTAAAAGGAAGATTACCATAAATTATAGCATAAAGTAACTTTTTGTCTAATTTTCCTTATCTATTTTGAGATATTGGTTTTATACACCAATTTATTAAAGTTTTTTGATATTTTGATCCAGAAAAGAACAGATTATCAGAGACATTAGTCATACTATAAGACTTTTGTTAATTATATTAAAATATCTATATATGAGTACCGCTAAGAGAAAACTAATAAATCTATTAGATATTTGTGAGTTTTGTCTTGGTGGTACTCATATACTTAAATATGTTATTATAATTTTTTGAAATCACTTACGAAGACTGTTCTTCATCAGATGTCAAATTAACATTAACTTTTTTGCGAGTAACAGAAATTGAACTAGTAGCATTTTTAATATAGTTAGCCTTTTTAGTAACAGGCCAGCTACCATATTTAAGAACATAGTTGTGGAGCTTTTCTGATCTACCAGGTAATTCTTGTTGACAATAAACGTACTTAGCAATATATCTATTGCCGGAGCCCTTTTTAAAGAACACCAAAACCCAGTCTAGCAATTATTATAAAATGTTATATTAGAATAAGTAAAACTAGTTGGAGGTTGAGATTGCATTGCTAGTAAGGTAAACCTTATTATTAAAAAATGATTAAATATGAGCTTTACTTTTATTCGCATAATTTAGTTCAATATTACTAATATACTATATTAATATATTGTAGTTTTCGATTTGTATTGTAAGTTATCTTTGATTTATTAATACAAAAATATTATTAATACATTTCTGTTTGTTGTTTTATGGAAACTGGAACTTAGAAAACTATTGATAGTGAAAATCAAATGATTTACAGAATTTTAGAGGCAAGCTTATGAAAAGAAAAGAAATTTTTTTTATGCCGATCTTGTAATTTTATTTAGAAATTTTGGCTTTTTTTATAATTTTTAAAAAAAAATTTGATCTTAAATTTTAAGCGTATACTAATTTTTATTTCTCAGGAGGATTTGGCTATGCATCAGAAAGTATTTCATTGTATTTTATTTTATTTCTTTTTTGATAGCCAGAAGCTTTTAATTTTTCATTAATTTACTATTCTGTGCTTCTTTTCTTATGAATTAGAAGCTGCTTCTAAACTTATTCTATATTTTTATACGCATTTAACACAGCCTCATTAAAGATTCTCTACTATTTTAGTTTTATTATACCCTTTTCTTTATTTTTATTCGCTATATATATACTATAATTCAATTTACTTTTTTGGATTAGCGTTTCTGGACAGCATTTGCTATTACATTATTTATACGCGTGAATCATATGAAATTATATATCAAAGCATCCAAGTATTCATTTATTATCAAGATTTATAATCAAAAAAATCTTATAATGAGTTAGTTAGCTGCATATGAGCTGACTATAGAACTAGAAAATATGCATACACATATAGTATTATATTAGTGGGATTTATTATTACTGTGTGTTATAAATACGTATATTTATAAATGCTATAATAATTTTAGGAATTTAATATTATACATATACATATTTAAACACGAATATATACATACGTACGATAATTGGAAATGCACAAATCTTAGTGTTAATTCTGGTTTGCTACTACTTGTTTTGTGAAAAATTACCAATATAGTATTTATTAATATTCAAATTTAAATTCTTTATCATGGTAACATTTAAGCCACAAAGCTTTGTAAACATGTATAAAATTATTTTTATATACAGTATATATTTATTAATATATATCCTTTTATTATATATTTAAATTATATAGTTTTGTAAATATAAATATAAAATTATTAGGTAGTATGCCAAATAGACTTTT